GGGTCTGAAACTGTGGCGGTGAACCAGGGTATGAACCTGGGTCTGATTATGGTGATGCATCATTAACCTTCAATTGGACAAGGAAGCAATGTGCAGAAAGCAAAGTGAGTGGAAAACAAGGCTCTTAACTCTTCTTTTGGAACTTTTTTGGTTTTTGTTGGAATACACAGACCAAAGTGAAATGTCAGGAGAATTAAGGGACAGTCAACAACACAGAGGGACAGAGGGAGATTTTATTTTGTTGTAGTTAAAAACAGGTTTTCTAAATAATGCTCAGCAATGTTGTTCAGGTATTGTTCCTGAAGTAGTTTGTATGAGAAGCAGAAAGCTGTTTCCTGTGTCCTCCTGCTTTTGTGATTGTTTTTTTTGTTTGCTCTGATTAGGCAATTAAATGAATTGCTTTTATGTTATGTTGTTGTTATTGAGCCTGTTTGAAATGTTATTGACGGTATTAACTCCCTGTAGGAATAACAGTAGGATTATTTTCAGAGTTACCATGACATGTCAAGTACTGGACTGCACTGGAAAATACGGCTCGCCATAAGCCACCATGTAATTGAAACCCTGTGTCGAACAATGTGATCTGTAGCACCTGTTCACCTCATGTCAGCCATTTTATTCAAACCCTGAAGACTCATTCACAATAAAAGCCTTCCAATGATTCCCTGAGGGCTTTTATTGTGAAGGAGCTGCAGGAAGTGCATGGTTTCATTTACGAGTAGTTTAACACTAGAAAGTCAATAAACTGTGTGTGTTGATCAATACATAACAGGAACATAAAATAAAACAACTTAAATAAAGTAAAATCAAAATAAAGTGTTGAGATAAAAATAAAATGTTTCAGTCACTTAAAATCCACAAAATCAAACTGTAAACAACAATAACACAAACAGTTTTAGTGTTAACACATTATTTTCAGACTAACAATTTCACACTCAACAAACTGGCATTAAAGAGTTCAGAAGAGTCAAGTAGAGTCCAGTTCAAACTAGTGGAGACCAGTATAGAGTAGGGTTGGGTACGGAAATCTGTACTTTAATGGGAACTGACCAAATTACATCAGTACTACCCGGTACCAATTAAGTTGTCTGATGACACTGTGTGTGTCAGTGTGAGAGATGAAGAATGATTTAACTCAAAAGTATTGATCAGTGTTGATATTGTGGCGACATTTCAAACAAATCAACGTTGAAACTGTCGCAGGTCAGAGACGTCAGGTGAGTGAGAGAGAGAGAGAGAGAGAGAGAGAGAAAGAATGGAAAGAAAGTGAAAGGTGGGCAGCGGAGTCAGTCAGTCAGTCAGTCAGTGTGTGTGTGTCCCGTGACCTCCCTCAGGTTCTGGGTCCATCATACAGAAGCTACACAACTTTTATAGTAATCAATCGTTTGTAGTGATGAATTTGAACCCAGGACAAACATTATCTCTATAAGCATTTATACTGAAATTTTGTCGCGTAGCGTATGCAGCACGAACTTCTCTGTGCAGGACAAGTTATACAGTGAGAGTAAAGTACCGAAAAAAAGTACCAACGGGTACCAGTACAGACTTCCAGGTACAGGGACCAGTACCGATTTGAATGTGAACGGTATCCAACCCTAGTCCAGTAGAGACCAGTTAAGTCCAGTTCAAAACAGTAAGGGCCAGTGTAGTGTCCAGTAGAAACAGGACTTAGTTGAATTTGGAGCTGAAATCAGAGGATGAAGAAGAGGAGGAGGACGACAAAGAGGATGGCGAGCAACACTCCGATAGCACACCACTGACGACGATCTGTAAAGACACCAGACTTAATTACTATCTTATTACAACAATATAGAACTCAATATAACTAACTATAATGTATTACAACTAAAATTAAACACAACCAGCTATAACGTATTACAACTACAACTAGTCATTAGCTGGTTTCAGACATGTCTTTCTCCAGAGTTTGTGTTTCACAGCAGCAGGTTTTCTGCACAGACTCATTCACAACAGCATCAAATCCTCCTCATTCTTCAGGTGAGAGGTGGAGCAGCCGGGTGCAGCAGACAGAGACAGGAAGTGATCAGAAAGTCTGCAGATAATCCGAAGGCTGTCACTCGCACATTTATGTTCATGCAAGAGAAAAAGAAAGTGCAGAGATTCTCTGGTGGAGGTGCATGTCTGAAAGCAGCTATATTTATATCTTATTTCTCTAA